TTCCACATTAGAGTAACACTTATGTAAAGCAGGCATGTCAGAATTCCCAGCACTTAATCTGAAAATTATGAACGTATTCCACTTGGAAATACTTTCATATTTCTTATTAGTACATGTTTGCAGTACATAATGATTACATTCACCCTGGGGGATGTATATATGTACATAATACATCTTAACAGAAATATCTTTAGGGCCGGCGATTTAGCTCAGCGGTTTCGCCACCTGCTGTGCAAATGCAAGAACCTGAGTTCGATCTCCGGTACCAAAAAAAAAAAAAAAGAAAAGAAAACAGAAATATCTTTAAACTGGAAGTGACCCCTTTTATCTTTTCCATAGTTAGGAACATTTCATATATAGAAATTTCCTTCATTTAGACTTTTTTCTATCTGCTATGTTCCAACTATATGCTTAAATGTTTGTATGCTGAGAGGTTTTTAGAACACCTGAAATGTCACAAATGAAATCTAAAATTGCATAAAGTCCAAAAAATAAAAGATTCAGGGCTGGGGATTTAGCTCAGTGGCACCACGCCTGCCTCACAAGTGCAAGGTCCTGAGTTCAATCTCCAGTACCAAAAATAAAAATAAATAAAAATAAAAATAAAGATTCAGTGTAACTATCTCAATTAAATTTTTTTCTTTTGGTACCAGGGATTGAACTCGGAACCTTATGCTTGTGAGGCAGGCGGCAGAACCACTGAGCTAAATCCCAGCCCTATCTCAACTAATTTTAAAAATATAAATTTAGTGCATAACTCAAGGCAAAATCCAGAGACAAGCTATATGCCTTGTAGAAAGAATACAGATGCCAGTAGAATGTTATTTATAGTTTTGATCATTGTCAGTCAGAACCTAGAGTCCTACTACTCAAGTCCTTTTTGAATGGAACATTTATTGATCATTAAGGGAAACTGGCCAGCTTCCTGGACTCTTGAAGCCCTTACAGGGAGCATGGACTCGCTTCATGCTCGCTGTGTCTTATCTTCACATGCCATCGCGCGTGTGGCAGAAAGAGGCTTGCCCTCAATTCGGCCACAGCACAGCTATTCTCAGGCTCTGCTCTGCCCTTCAGAGACCCAGGGTACAACCCTGGCCATGGAACTGAGGCTCCTGGGGATTCATTTTTCTCACTTTTGTAAGCATAAACGAGAAAGAGAAGAAGGGCCGTGACGTCTGGGTGGGATGATTTCGGTGGGCTGTTCCTCTTCAAAACTTCCCCATATCGTTTTGTTTTTTGTGGTACCGGGGATTGAACCCCAGTCTTTGTCCCCAGCCCTTTTTATACTTTAGAGACAGGGTCTCGCTAGGTTGTACAGGCCAGGCTCAACCTTATGATTCTCCTGTCTCAGCCTCCTAATGTGCTATGATTACAGGTGTGCACCACCACACCCAGCCTAAATGTCCCTGTTTTTTTGTATCTAGTTTCCATATTTAAAAAAAAAGGTGGGATTATTCGGCCTTAAAAAGCAATGGAATTCTGACATATGCAACAACACTGGTTAACCCTGAAGATACCATGCTAAGTAAAATAAGCCATCCTCAAAAGGTCAAATACTACATGATTCCACTTAGGAGGGACCCAGACTAGCACACTCAAGTACACAGAAGTACAACGGTGGCTAAGGGGCCAAGGAGAGCGTAATGGAGAGTGCTGTTTAATGGGCATAAAGTTCTAGTTCGGGAAGAAAAATTCTGGACATGGACAGGGGTGATAGTTGCACACTGACATGACCATACTTAATGCTGCTGAGCTCTACATCAAAAGATGGTTAAAGTGGTAAACCTGATATACATGTATTTTACAGGAAGTCACAGGGAATGCACACCTTAAAAGCATCTGACATTCCTCCTCTATCTACCTAAAAAGCATAATAAATGTATAGATGGAACGAAGCACACAAAAAAGAGGCTGGGGTAGGGATATGAAAATTAGGTAGAAAGAAGAGCGCTAGGTTATTTGCCTTGATGCTGAGTTTGCAAAGCAATCATGGAGGTCTTTAATATGTGCCCTGTGTTTCTGTGCAGTGGTTTGGGTGTGGGTTGGGGGTGGGGGGGGGGCAATGGACTATGAGGAAAGCTCCCAACTCATTCCTCTGGGCATACAGCTGTCTCTATTGTAAAGACCTGGAGAGCAGGAAACTCGCTCCATCTCCCCAGGATACATGCACTGTGGGAATTCTGGAAACGGATTGATTTTCATTCCATTAGAGATAAACATGTTTAAAAGGATTTTCTTGCACCAAAATTAATCTGTAAAGGATTATTCAGTATGCAAATTTTAGGATTACAACTATTAGAAAACATGAGTTGAAAGAGCTCTTCAGAGAGCCTTATGGAAGATTATTATTTATTTCTGCAATAATAAATTACTTGATCTAAAATACATCTCCTGAATGTTAAAGTAAGAAAGCAGGTGTTATAGAATATTATTTCTGGGTGTAGCAGTGTATTTCCTAGCATTCTATTTATTGTTCCACTCTGTACAAGTAAATTTTTGGTTTTTTTACAAATATTTGCAAAATGAATGCTCAAATATAATATTTGCCTTTAAAGGAACACAAAGTGATAAAAGAATATTTATAGTATCTTTTTATTTGATAAGTTCAAAGTACTAAAATGATATAAATGGCTCAGTAAAACCACAGTAATACATAATTATACTAATTCTTTTGCATTCTTGCTAATTCTTCAACCATAAATAAATGTCTAAACTGGTTAATATTTATTTTCTTGATCTGATTATTTTTATTCCCCTCATTCTTTGCTCTCATGAGTCTTATAATGTCATATTTTAATAACAGGCCTTTAATTATTCCCTCTCAAAAAAGGAAGAAAAGAAAAATGCAATATAAGGAGAAGGAAGAAAAATATAAATTCTGATAGTTTCCATTATGGTAATTAATCTAAATGAATTAGTTAATATTTGTTGTTTAGGATTTTTAATATTTTAATGTTTAATATTTTAACTATTTTGCTAATTTGTTTTTATATATAACTATTTTTATGGCCAAGTAAAGTTTTCTTTTTTTGTTGTTGCTGGCTTAGGGAATCAATTTAGTAAAAGTTACAAATAGGTTACTTAGGGTTTGGGTTAGGGTTATTTGGATGCTTACCTTTCTTATATTTAATCAGCACAAAAGTGGTAACAAACCTGTTAAAGAAATTATCAGGTGCAATATTTTCCTGTGGATGATTGCTCACAGTAATCTGAATTAAATACCCATTACTAAAATATTCCTGTACCGTGAAAGAATATTGCATACCACATAAAAGAAACCAAATATGCAAAAACAGGTTTACAGAATTCACTCACTTAACTACGAAAGGATAGCGAAGTTTCAGATTTCCTAAATGAGTGACATCATCAATTACTCATAGCTCTCATTTAAGAACATTTTACGCGCTGGAATCTTAAATTACGTCAGCCGCTCATCTCACTGACAGTGGTTTACCAATCTATCTTTCCAAACCTGCTGCGGGGGCGGGGCGGGCTCATCTTTTAAACTTTCACCATCTGTGCCCACTTGGAAGTATCTTCTTTCCATTAGAATTTTACCAGCTTGCAACCTGGGAATCTTCAATTCCGGCCCTGCACCTGCCAACTAGCCTAGGCATTTCAAAAATCACTCAAATTTGGGAAACTAATCATGGGAGATGGGAAGCAAAATTTTTCCACTTTCTACATAGAGTGTTAGCTTCATTACTAGATTTAAAATATTTTAACCGGGACCTTTATAAAGTCTCACCCCTGGAAAAAGTTCTCATATACACCGTCTTCACCCCTAAAAAATGAATGTTTGTCGGCACCGGGGATGGAGCTCAGTGGTTCCGCCTCCTGCCTCGCAAGCCCAAGGTCCCGAGTTCGATCTCCGGTACCAAAAAAAAAAAAAATGTTTGTTTCTATTGATCACTTTATATATCATAAAATCTTTGAGGCGATTTCTGTATAACATGAAACAGCATGACATTTTCTAATTGCTTTAGAGATAGAAATAAAAGAGCAAATGCCTATATAATGAATTACCTTTATGACTTGTTCCATAGGCCTTTTGTGTCCAATAAGAAATTTCTTTTTTTAGGGCCACTACAAGCATGGCTATAATTTAAATCTATAATAAGATATTTCACATCAAAGGGCATGTGTCTAAGCTGTAATTTCCAAGCATGCAGTGGTTTAGTTCAAAAGTTTAAGTGGTAGTTTATTCGACGCAAAAAGTAGTGCAACTAAACTTTAAAAGTAATAAAAATATCCTCAAGAACTTAAAAATAAAACCCGTACTAAACAGCAAACAAATATCTGCATGAAAAAATAAAGAGTCCTTCCACTGCCTTCAATTTTCTCCTGGTATCCCCTATTTGAAGAACTCAGAGCGAGGCCAGTCAACTAATTGAGTCCAGAGTGGTTGGGGGTTATTTTCACACTAGGTTATTAGCAGGCTGAGCAGAGCTAGGACTCAGGAGAAAGGGCCCCAGACTGCTTTCCTACCTTCCGCACCTCGGGCAAATCTGCTGCTCCAACGCCTCACAGCTAGCTTAACGCTGGAAATCTCCAAAAGACACGCCGAGGCCGTGCACACTGACTGCCCTTCTCAGGAGGTACTGGGAAAGGCAGGGGTTTTCGTGCACGCCGCGCGTCTAGTCGCCCACAGGTCGGCCCACCCCGTGTGAGCGGTTTCCTCCACCCCTCGCGACTCTGCACCTCTCAGAAGACCTCCTCCCAAGAAGACCAAGAGCAAGGGCTCCGCGATTTTCCGAACCGAGTCTGGTCCTGTTTACTTATCACGCCGGTGGCCAGAGACAGCCGGGCGCCGCCCCTCGGCCGCACCTCTCAAAAGCGGGGGCCCGGGCCGCACAGCTCCGCCGCCGCCCCGCGCTTCCGCCCGGCGGAGCCGCTGCGCTCTTTCAGTGGCGGCGACTGCCCCCTCCCGCCCCGCTGCCCTCGGAGCCGGGCCAGGACGCAGAGGCAGGCGGGCCTCCCTCGCGGCTGGCCGCGCTCACCTGCCCTCGCTCCGGGGCGACGCTGGACCGGGCCCGACTCAGCGAGCCAGGGACGCGGGAGGAGCGCGCCGGGCCCTTCGGGATGCGGAGCCGAGCGCGAGGCTGCAGCCGGGCGAGAGCGGAAGCGGCGGGGAGGTCACAGCCCACGCGCCGCCTCCTGGGGGCCCGGGGGACCCGGCGATCGCAACGGCGTCACAGGAGAGCCGGGGGTTCGGGGGCGGGCGCGGGGTCACCTCCGGCGCACGCGTGCTTCCCGGGACCGCCCGCAGACTCACGGAATGCGGCTCCGGCTCCTCCCGGCCCGGCGCCGCAGGGTCCCGGGGACGACCCCCGCTCCCCACCCGGGTCACGGCCCCGCCGCCCGCCGGCTCCACCCCGCCCGGGCCCCGCACCTGCGGAGCCGCCCGCCTGGGACAGGGAGGGGGGGACAGGGACGGGGCGGGGATTTAGGGGCGCCGCCCGCTCCGCTAGCTGGGGTGGCTGGCGGGGTCGTCTCGCCTCCTACTTCCTCTCCGCGGCCGCCGGTTGGACGAGGCTGCAGACCCCAGGGCGCCGCCGGGGGAAGAGGCTGCTGCTGCGGACGGCCCGCCCTCCCCGGACGGCTCCTGCCCCGTGCGGCTCCTTCCTGGGTGGGTGCTCGCCCGCGCCCCGCGGGCCTCCGTTCCGCGTGGCCCAACCTGGTGCTCAGTCCACCTTCCCGGGTCCATCCCGCTGTTCTGCCCAGTCTTTAGCCCCACGCTGGTACCTAGGATGGCAAGATCCGGAAATCACTTAAACAGGTCGCTTAGAAGCAAAGAGATAAATCAATTCCAGAATTACTTAGCAAGGGAAAGAATTTGCCTTTAGGGAGCAAGGAATTTGGAGAGGCCAAGGAGGGGCAGGGATGTGAATCCTGACCACAGAGCCTCCCACATCTCGCATCTCAGTGGGTTTCCTCCATGCTTCAAAGCCTTTTGGCTCCCCAGCTCTGGGAATCAAATCGAGTTCCTGGGCTTGGCATTCAAGGCCCACTGCGCCCCCATGTGAGCCCCCCCCCCCACCCGTTTTACTGCCCTTCACCTCCTTTCCTAAAACTGATTTCCTATCTCTGTAGTTATTGAGTTTCCCTGGAGCATTCTCTTACTGCTATAATAATTCCTAATGGCACTGCGCTAAGTACTTCGTGTGTTTTATAGCTGTTAATTCTTACCTAAATCCTACGCAGGCCTTCCTGTTGTCTCGGGTGTAAGCAAGAAAACAGACGTAGAGAAGTTAATTTACTTAGATGCGTATTCTGTGGTGAAGCTAAATTTGAACCCAGCAATTTGACTCCGGGACTCACATGTTACCTATTCATCCTCTTAAAACCTTTCTCAGAGGCTAAATGTGAGCAGGATTAAAATACTTAATCTTTTTCAAATGTTTTAAAAGGGCAAGGAGAAAATATGTGATTGAAAATATAAGTGATAAGAAAATATAAGTTGCTTTTAATCTCAGAGCAACAGTCAAAATTTTAAAGGAAAAGGGACAAGTTTTACTGTTAAATTTTAACTTCTTTCATTAAAAAAACCCATAGAGTAAAATTAAAGGAAATAAAAATTATGCAGAAGTTGCAAAATATATCAAAGATGAGAAAATAACACAAAATAGAGTTCTTAAAACCAAATTATAAATAGACCTTTCTTTTAAAAATGAACAAAAATATAACGTAGCTAAGTCATGAAAAAAATGTTAATAGCTAAGCATTTTTAAGAGAATGAAAACTTAAAATGGTGCATCATCAAATGGGCTCAGAATAAAATAATCCCCAGAGCTTGGGATTTGGACCAGCAGCCTCCCCGACAGGAAGCGTGGCAGATGACCAAACTCATGGTTACCAAGAAGGGCGTAAGTCAGCTCCAACATCCTCAGGGCAATCTGGCAGAATGTAAGAAAAGCTTCAAAACATTCACACCCTTGGACTAAAAACTACATTTTGGGGAATTTATAATTGCTCTATAATAGGCATTGACAAAAGTCATCTATAAAAAGCCAGAGAATAAATACTTAAGGTTTTGAAACCCACATTTGTCTCTGTTGCTTTCCTTTCATATTCATGCTTTTAAAAAATCCTAAAAATGTAAAAACTATTAGTTTGCCAGCCATAGAAAACCAGATAGTGGCCTGGAGTTGCTGCAAGGGAAGAAATAGGTACAAAGAACAAACTGCAGGAAGTAGTTTGGCCAAGAGAGAAACCAAATTAAATGTCTGAATATTTACATAGCTATAATTAGGTACAAAGAGACAAGTTTTTACAAAATTTTAATTTTTTTTTTTTTAGTACTGGGGATCGAACTCGGGTCCTTGTGCTTGCACAGCAGGTGGCAAAACCAGTGAGCTAAATCCCTGGCCCTAGTTTTAATTATTTTAAATGTTCCAGAATGGTATCTGTTGCACAAAAAAATATTTATGATTTATTAAGTGCAAAATGTAGTTTACAAGAGTATTTATGATATAATGAAATACAGCATAACCATATGTGTACCTATGCATAGAGAAAGACCTGGGAGGGGCCAGGAATTTAGCTCTGTGGTTCCGGCACCCGCTGCACAAGCGCAAGGACCCGAGTTTGATATCCGGTACCCCCCCCCCCAATTGAGAAAGACCTGGGAGGAGAGGAACACTATCTGGTCTCAGGGTAGGAGGTAGGATGTGGTTTTATTAGACTACGTGGTTCTTTGTTGAATGTATGTTTGGCTGTCATTGTTTTCAGTAAGCAAAAGTATAAGGAACTTTGCTCATGGTACAATAGAGGATCTCAGTGGTCAGTCTGAGAAGATCTTCCCAGACTCTGCTGCTGCAGATGGCGCTCACTGCTTTCTTTTCAGTGGTTCTGTAACTAGCACAACAAAATAGCGCTTTAAATATTAGATTAGTTTTTGTTTTAGAAATAAGTGACTTTTCCCAACTTCCTACAGAGCTCATAATGGACACCCCCTCCTCTGCTTAGCCTAGAGAAACAAAAAAGGTCATGCAGATCTTGGGCCCAGGTCCAGGAAGGACAAAACAAGCCTGGAGTTGTCTGTCATTGCACCCTCTTCCTCTGATCCTTGCTACAAAAGACCTCTGTGCACCTGGGCACGGGTCAGATGGTGGTCTGGGACAAATGGGGCCTCTTTCTTCTTGGAGCTAGCTCTTGAAAGAATCATTTTTCCTGTTCACCAAAAATAAACAGCCTCCTTTGGTTGGGTCAGCAGCAAGCAAATGAACGTCCAGCACAGGGGTCTGAGTGGCCAGTGAGTTACTGGTTCCATAATAGTTTTGGAGCACTTAACTGTAGAATGGTTAATACCATTATCTAGTTAGCTTTCGTCTGTTGCTGGGCATCAGAGGTCCCAACAGTTTGCTGTTGGAAGTTGGCTGGTTTTTCTCACTTGCTGTCCAGTGGATTTATCTGCCCTGTCCCCCATCTGCTAGGCTCAAAATGTGGAAGGAACTTTCCTCATTGGGAACTCTTCCCTTGGGGCCAGTTTAACCACCGGTAGACACCAGGGGGAGACACCTCAGGAACCTGAAGGATGGAAAACAAGAAAGGTTGGGATATTTCTTCCCATCCCTTCCTGCTTCTGGTGGCATTCTGACATTGGCTTTGAACTTCTAAGGGAACCATAAAAGCAGCGCCCCCCCCCCGCCCCCTTTCCATTGGGCTCTGCCACCATGATTCCCACGTTATTCCTTTAGGCCTAGCCTCCTCCACAGCTTCTTGCAGTTGTGGTGCCTTCCAGTTTCTTGTTTTCTCTTACCAAACCTTAAACCTAGCCCCAGCTTCGGTAAATAGTCTCCTCAATAAAACTCTTTGGTTGAAACATCTGAATGGAAGCTGGTTTCTGTTAGGACAGACTGACACATATTAGGGAACACCACTGAACATCACAGAGCACAAATCTTTTATTCCTTATTGCAACCGGCCCTGAAAATTTTCCTTATTTACGTCTGAGCTTTTGACTACTTGCTAGGTATTCATAGAATAATTTACGTTTCCTGAGCGGGAATTTCAATTGCCATTGTGATGTCAGTGGGAATGTAGCACTGTATCATTCTCCGTTTCTCTAGTAGATTTTTTGAAAAGTAATACTTGTTTTTTTATTGAAGAAATCATATACTATAGTATATTGGTATTCAAATTTTGATATTTTCAGTGAACTTAAGAAACAATTCTTTTTTTTTTTTTGGTACCGGGGATCGAACTCGGGTTCTTGCGCTTGGACAGCAGATGGTGAAACCACTGAGCTAAATCCTCGGCCCATAAGAAACAATTCTTACATGGAGCCTACCATGAAGATTAGATGTAAGTCAAATTGTATTTGAGACAGAGGGGAACTGTCTTCCTACTTTTGAAGCTAACTTGGGACACCTGTAAAGAATGCCAGGGCTCTTTATAACAGTTTGAAAACAGATTTGGAGAGCTCTGGAGTTTAGGAGACATACCCTTCATAAATATCCAGTTAGATGTATAGAATTACATTGTCAACAATGTGATTTTACCAATTGCGCTTCAAGATGCTTCTCACAATGAGTGACGTTGCCTAACTCATTACTGCATCTATCATTAAGTGCACAACACACACACACACACATGCAACACTAATTTCTCATCTTAGTTTTAGTGCATTTTTATTAGTTGTGAATTTTTTCATGTTTATTATCCATTTATATTTTCCTTCCTTTCCCATTTGTTTTTAGTTGCCTTTTCATATTTGCTATTTCTCTATTTATTCAATACATATTAATTACTTAGATAATGATCGAGGCATTATTCTAATGAATATAAATCCCAAAAAGACAGTTATACTTCCTCTTTCATGGAACTCCCAGACTAGTGATCCTGTAATTTTATTCTTTATTCTTTTTAATAATGTAGCAAACATGGCAACCTTTTGTCACATTTGTTGCAAGATGTTTAGCTGGCTCTTTTATATAACAGTTTTTATTACTGCAGAATTTTAAAAGTAATATGAGCAGTGGCACTTGCTTATGTTCCCAACTTTTCTGAAAGCTGGGGTGAGAGGATCATTTGAGCCTAGAAAATCCCTCTTGAACCAAGATCAGGTCAGTATTCATTTATAATTCCTGTGATATTTTTACTATTTGATTTCTAAAATTTAAGACTTCAGTAACCTGTAAATTATTTTGAGAAGCTCTGAACTGATCCCTTGACCCCAATAGTTAGTCATTTTTTCTGACATTTGCTAAACTTTCCT